AGGAATGCCAATGCATAAGGAAAATTTTGGAAATTTTTTTCTTTCTTTTTTATTTTTTTTTTTAAGTACTGGTGGTGTTGTATTATCAGGGTTTTTTTAAGGCTGAATAATTTAATTTTTCCAATGAGTAGGCAACCTCACTACTTCAATAGACAGTGAAAACTCTATTTGAAACTACTGCTACCACTGCAGATACCTGCCAAACAAAATTATTCTAATTGCAGTTCGGCTTTTAATTTCCAAGAATATGTCTGCTCTCCAGTTAGTCTAAGAAAAGTTACTGCATTTGCTTTGAATTTGCTCCTACACTTTTTTGTCCTCAGATGCCCAAGATCCGTATCTTATTACCAAGCAACTCGTAGCAGTGAAATGTTTACTTGAAGCAATTTTTACAGTTCTCATTTGGCTATGTTAGAAATCTGCAGTTTGTAGAGTGTTTTTTTCCTGGCAAAGTCCAATATGCCAGGCACATAAGGCCATTTTAAGGAAGCTGCTATTCTAACTAGCAATTTAAAGCAGTGCATTAAACCTCAACCAGAACCAAGGCCCTTGTTACCTTTCAAAAGACATGTTTGCATCTTTAACTTTCCGTAGCTCTTCTTGAACTAGCTGTTTGGCACGAATTTCTGCATCAAGGGCAGACTGTAATTCCAGCCTAGCTGACATGTCCAACTTCTGACTGCGTCGCACTTTCCAAAGTGGATCCTGTTGCAGTAAGTTACTGAATATTAGTATAAACAGTCTAAAGATGTTTCTGTTCTTGCTCAAAGACATGAAAATAGCTTTCACACTGGTTCAGACAATGTTCTTTAAATCAGTTATAGGACAGTCTGCTTCCTACATGGATATTGGTCAATGGTTTGACTTTGTAACATATAAATGAAGCAAGGAGCCATTTCTATACTGGTTAAACCACTAACAATGTTATTGAAACAAAAATGCTGGATTGCTGAGAGATTGAGAGAGCCCATTGAAAATGACTAGTTTTCATTGCTCAATCTAAGAGTGTAAAACTTGCACAGCAAAATACTTGACTTTCAAGCATCAGAGAAACATAAATACTTAATGTAAAACACACTAATATAAAACTAATATAAACTAATATAAAACATACCGTGTGTGGCGAAAACATGAAAAAATTAAATAATCTTGGGTTTTGAGACACCCAAGATACCAGTTTCCTAAACATTTCTTATCCTGGTGGAGCAGCATACGCTATACTTCTGCATACACTATACAATTCCACCCTAATACCCCCAAAAGCTAATTTGTAGTTTTGGGTAAAACCGCTTTTCCAAGTATTTTTCATTGTGGACTACATGTCTGGTATTCCTTTATGGATACCCGTTTAGTCACACACAAACCTGCAAGTAACAGTCAAGAAAATCTTTTATGTTGAGAAATAACAGCCTTAGATCAAGTCCTCCTGAAATTACAAAACCAGTTGTAATATAAATAAGAGACAGTTCTTTATTCCAGCAGTAGCTAAGAATGCCTACTGTGTTTGATCTGATCTTTGTTCCTATTAAACCTCTCAACATTCTAATCATCTATTGACAATGTAGCCAAGTCATAACTTTCTCTTATTTTCTCCTATTCATAGGTTTGGAGGGGATGAGTAACTTACTATCTGTATAAACCAGCAGCAGATGCACATTTTGCATGGCAGACTGTGCTGACTGGCATTCCTAGGGACGTGGGCTTCCATGTCTAGCTGCTAATGGGTCCCCCTTTCCTTACAGAGGTATTTACTACCTGCCAAGGCAAGCCAGTGTTTTAATCTTTGAAATCATACTCTTTTGTGAGGGCTCTTCTATTTTGCTGATTTTTTTTGGAATTCGTGTTACTACTGTATGGGAAGATTATGGCAGAAAGTCTTACTCTCCTGCATGTAAATAAAGCTACATGCTCTCAGTGTCACCAGGTTGTAACAAAACCAACCAGCTGATGCTTGTTCACAAAGGAGAACTTGCTTTGTTATCCCACTGTAAAAGCAATTAAAGTTACTCTTGCATTTAACACGGTGAGGTACATTTCTCTACTTCCATGTAACACTCTTAACTATTAAATTTTGATCATATGATCGAAATGGATTTCAGAAGCAATGGCTAAAATCTAGACAGTCATTAGCAGAGCAGATGATTTTTTAAGAAAAGAATTCTGATTATGAAGAGATGTTGATATGACAGTAGCTGAAAATAAAAAAGTAGCTTCTTAAGATATCCCCAGAATAACCTGAATGCTTACTATTTTCTTACCAGTGTTCGTGACCCCAGACTGGAACTTCTCAATGATTCTAGTTCTTCTGTCATCTTGGAAGCTAATGCTTGGAGATAGCCACGAGCATCCTTCTCATCACTTACCCTATTGTGTAATTACAAAAACCTGTTACTTTACAGTTTCATGCCTCATAGCACCAAACACTGTACCACCAAACAATCAGTGTCTACATTGGATTTAGAGACATAGCAGAAATGGACACTGCAAGAAAAAACTCTCCCAGCAACAGAAAACTGAATATATCCTAGATTGCCTGTTTCAGATTTTTTTTCTATCTGAGTGTCTTGATTGTGGCAGTTGCCAGGGAAACTGAAGTTTCCCTTCCACCATCAGCAAGAGTTCCGCAGAGATTCACTGTTATTGTTTGGAACATGATTTGCATATTGCTTGCTCTATTTTCATAAGGGTTACCTTCAAGGCCTTCTTGTCTTGCATGCTGAAAACACTTGCACGCAGCTTGCTAAAACAGCAAGTAACAGACGGAAGAACTGACCTGTGAATTATGTGAAAGTACTTATCTAGTATAACTAATGAGTTTCTATATGTTAACATGGACTTCTAAAATAATGACCACCTTCCTGAATGAATTTATCAAAATATTCCAAATTGGTTCATTTAATGATCACTTTAGAGACTGAAGAAATCTGACACCAAAACCCTCTCCTTTGTACATAATAACATTTGACAATTTCACTTGTCATTACTACACAGCAACACCAGAAACAAAAGAGAAACAGTTAATCCACACTCAGAAGTACCATGCTTTTGTTGGTCCCCAGCACAGAGAAAGGGCCTAGCTATATATTGAAAACAAAAAAAGCCAGTCAAATCTGGCTGAAAAAGTTGAAAGCGATCATCTGGATCTCTAAAAAGCACATACCATTGAATAATTTCTGCAATCTGAGCTTCCCAGTGAGCAACAGACTCCTTCTTTGCTGCTAGGTCCTGGAGCTCGTCTTCTAGCTGCCTGTTCTGTGCTGTTAATTTGTCCACAAAGGAGCAAAGCTGAAATAAAATAATAATTTCACCCATGGCTTATGTCAGTTTCAGACTTTTTACATGTGCATGCATCTACATATCTATAGAACCTTAACAAATAAGACCTATCTGGAAGCTCTAACAGGGACTAAAGAACTGGTTGTTCTTTTATGGAACTGGAGAACAGCTCCTGAGCATAGAACAACATGTTGCCAGTTCACAAAAAAACCAATCCAAAACAAAGGAAAAGAAGAAAAAGCAAGTGTAGAGGCCACTGAGAATTGTTCTGATCAGTGAATAGACTACTTCAACATCAGAAAGTAACAAAGAATTACATTTTACTTAAAAATGTTTCCTAAAATAATTACCCTCTCATTTTCTGTTGTCAGCTTTTTGTTATCTTCCAAGAGCATGGATCTTTCACGCTCATATTTCTCTTTCATTGTTCCTACTGCTTCCTCCATTTCACTATGCCTAAGGAGAAGAACAAGAAACAGAAACAGTTACACTGTAACACC